TCAAGGGTCAGGTCCTCACATAGAGAATCAACAACGTAATGACACCGACACCGCACAATACACGAATAAATACAACAAGGGCCAGGTCCTCACATAGAGAATCAACGTAATGATACCGATATCGCACAACACAAGAATAAAAACAACAACTGTCAGGCCCTCACATAGAGAATCAACGTAATAACACCGATACCGCACAATACACAAATAAATACAACAAGGTTCGAATCAACGTAATGACCCTGACACCGCACAACACAAGAATAAAAACAACAACTGTCAGAATAAATACAACAAGGTTCGAATCAACGTAATGACACGGCCAGGCCCTCACATAGAGAAGCAACGTAATGATACCGATATCGCACAACACAAGAATAAAAACAACAACTGTCAGAATAAATACAACAAGGCGCAGGTCCTCACATAGGGAATCAACGTAATGACAACGACACCGCATACCACACGAATAAATACAATAAAGGTCAGGTACTCACATAGAGAATCCACGTAATGATACCGATATCGCACAACATACGAATATGTACAACAAGGGTCAGGTCCTCGCATAGAGAATCAACGTAATAACACCGACACCGAACAACACACGAATAAATAAAATAAAGGTCAGGTCCTCACATATGGAATCAACGTAATGACACGGTAAGGTCCTCACATAGAGAATCAACGTAATGACACTGACACCGCAAAACACACGAATAAATACAACAAGGTTAGAATCAACGTAATGACACCGATACCGCACAACACACGAATAAATACAACAAGGGTCAGGTCCTCACATAGAGAATCAACGTAATGACACGGTCAGGTCCTCACATAGAGAATCAACGTAATGACACAGACATCGTACAACACACGAATAAATACAACAACGGTCAGGTCCTCACATAGAGAATCAACGTAATGACACTGACACCGCACAACACACGAATAAATACAACAAGGGACAGGTCCTCACATAGAGAATCAACGTAATGATACCGGCACCGCACAACACACGAATAAATACAAGGCTCAGGTCCTCACATAGAGAACCAACGTAATAACACCGACACCGCACAACACACGAATAAATACAACAAGGGTCAGGTCCTCAAATAGAGAATCAACGTAATGACACCGACACCGCACAACACACGAATAAATACATCAAGGGTCAGGTCCTCAAATAGAGAATCAACGTAATGACACCGCACAACACACGAATAAATACAACAGGGGTCAGGTCCTCACATAGAGAAGTCCTCTCATAGAGAATCAACGTAATGACACCGATATCGCACAATACACGAATAAATACAACAAGGGTAGAATCAACGTAATGACACCGATATCGCACAATACACGAATAAATACAACGCACAACACACGAATAAATACAAGGCTCAGGTCCTCACATAGAGAACCAACGTAATAACACCCACACCGCACAACACACGAATAAATCCAACAAGGGTCAGGTCCTCACATAAAGAATCAACGTAATGACACCGATACCGGACAACACACGAATAAATACATCAAGGGTCAGGTCCTCACATAGAGACTCAACGTAATGACACCGACACCGCACAGCACAAGAATAAATACAACAAGGGTCAGGCCCTCACATAGGGAATCAACGTAATAACACCGACATCGCACAACACACAAATAAATACAACAAGGGTCAGGTGAATAAATACAACAAGGGTCACGTCCTCACTTAGAGAATCAACGTCATGACACGGCCAAGTCCTCACATAGAGAATCAACGTTATGACACCGACACCGCCCAACACACGAATAAATACAACAAGTGTAGAATCAACATAATGACACCGATACCGCACAACACACGAATAAAGACAACAAGGGTCAGGTCCTCACATAAAGAATCAACGTAATGACACCGATAACGCACAATACACGAATAAATACAACAAGGGCCAGGCCCTCACATAGAGAATCAACGTAATGACACCGATACCGCACAATACACGAATAAATACAACAAGGGTCACGTCCTCACATAGAGAATCAACGTAATGACACGGTCAAGTCCTCACATAGAGAATCAACGTAATGACACCGATACCGCACAACACACGAATAAACACAACAAGGGTCAGGTCCTCTCATAGAGAATCAACGTAATAACACGGTCAAGTCCTCACATAGCATAGAGAATCAACGTTATGACACCGCTCAACACACGAATAAATACACCAAGGGTCAGGTCCTCACATAGAAAAGCAACGTAATGACACCGATATCGCACAATACACGAATAAATTCAACAAGGGTCACGTCCTCACGTAGAGAATCAACGTAATGACGCCGACACCGCACAACACACGAATAGATACAACAAGGGTCAGGTCCTAACATAGATAATCAACGTAATAACACCGACACCGCACAACACAAGAATAAATACAACAAGGGTCAGGTCCTCACATAGATAATCAACGTAATAACACCGATATCGCACAACACACGAATAAATACAACAAGGGTCAGGTCCTCACATAGAGAATCAACGCAAAAGCACCGACACCGCACAACACACGAATAAATAGAACAAGGGTCAGGTCCTCACATAGAGAATCAACGTAATGACACGGTCAGGTCCTCACATAGAGAATCAACGTAATGACACCGATATACAACAAGGGTCAGGTCCTCACATAGAGAATCATCGCAAAAGCACCGACATCGCACAACACACGAATAAATAGAACAAGGATCAGGTCCTCACATAGAGAATCAACGTAATGACACGGTCAGGTCCTCACATAGAGAATCAACGTAATAACACCGGCATCGCAGAACACACGAATAAATACAACAAGGGTCAGGTCCTCACATAGAGAATCAACGCAAAAGCACCGACATCGCACAACACACGAATAAATAGAACAAGGGTCAGGTCCTCACATAGAGAATCAACGTAATGACACCGATACCGAACAACACACGAATAAATACAACAAGGGTCAGGGCCTCACATAGAGAATCAACGTAATGACACCGACACCGCACAATACACAAATAAATACAACAAGGGTCAGGTCCTCACATAGTGAATCAACGTAATGATACCGGCACCGCACAACACACGAATAAATACAAGGGTCAGGTCCTCACATAGAGAATCAACGTAATGACACCGACACCGCACAACACACGAATAAATACAACAAGGGTCAGGTCCTCACATATAGAATCAACGTAATGACACGGTCAGGTCCTCATATAGAGAATCAACGTAATGACACCGACATCGCACAACACACGAATAAATACAACAAGGGTCGGGTCCTCACATAGAGAATCAACGTAATGACACCGAAACCGCACAACACACGAATAAATACAACAACTGTCAGGGCCTCACATAGAGAATCAACGTAATGACACTGACACCGGACAACACACGAATAAATACAACAAGGGTCGGGTCCTCACATAGAGAATCAACGTAATAACACCGACATCGCACATAGAGAATCAACGTAATGACACTGACACCGGACAACACACGAATAAATACAACAAGGGTCAGGGCCTCACATAGAGAATCAACGTAATGACACCGACATCGCACAACACGATACCGAACAACACACGAATAAATACAACAAGGGTCGGGTCCTCACATAGAGAATCAACGTAATGACACTGACACCGGACAACACACGAATAAATACAACAAGGGTCGGGTCCTCACATAGAGAATCAACGTAATAACACCGACATCGCAGAACACACGAATAAATACAACAAGGGTCAGGGCCTCACATAGAGTAGAGAATCAACGTAATGATACCGGCACCGCACAACACACGAATAAATACAAGGGGCAGGTCCTCACATAGAGAATCAACGTAATGACACCGACATCGCACAACACGATACCGAACAACACACGAATAAATACAACAAGGGTCGGGTCCTCACATAGAGAATCAACGTAATAACACCGACATCGCACATAGAGAATCAACGTAATGACACTGACACAGCACAACACACGAATAAAAACAACAAGGGTCAGGTGCTCACATAGAGAATCAACGTAATGACACGGTCAGGTCCTCACATAGAAAATCAACGTAATGACACCGACACACGCACAACACACGAATAAGCGCAATCAGAAACGTCGAAATTCATTTCTCTTAAGGAATTATCTTTTTTCAAATGAAATCATGATGACCATACAATTGCCATTGTCTTTACCAGCCTGCATTTCTCGAAACCTCGTGTTGACAGTTAATCCGATAGTGTTGGACATCTGTCACGGAAGTCATGATATATATCAGTTATCGGTAAGCGGCGGAAACAGAGTAGTCGGTAGTGTCTCTGATTTCAAGTTCAGGAAGGTATATACGACCGAGTTATCAATAAAGTTCTTGTTATTCAAAGACAGTACAGTGTAGATATATATAAAAGTAAAATTGAAGGACTTCGCAAATTGTTTATTACCGGGTCCGATAGGGTCTTCACAAGTTCGACCTCATATAAAAACAAAATGCATGTTTCCATATGAACGCAAACAGTCAGCTGAAAAACCTTGCCGCCCAGCTAACCTAGCCTATTGTCAACCATGCTCCTTCTCGTGAATTCGTTACATTAATAATGGAAGATAGAAATTAGGATTATTGTGAAAAAATGGAGTTAAAATCGAATTAGGATAATGAATGAACGGAGCCAGCCTTAAAACACTGTTTTCATGAATTCTAGTGAAAATGTAAAAGTCGGTACAGTATCCTTAGTATTATTGTGCAGAAAGATTGCAATGCAAAACAATGATTAACTAGTAGTTTGTCTTTCATAAAAGGGAGAAAAAGTATTATGAAGGCTCGTTATTTAAAGGAGCTAGTTATGAAAACAATAAGAGTGTCTTTTCCTGTTGCCTTAAATATGATAAAGTACTGTTTTTCCACCATTTTCCTGATACAAACACCTTCCTGTTTTTATCTCTCCACCAGGTAAGCTACACATTTTGTAAAGACCTTATATCGGTGCTGACCAAAAATATGTCGAACACGGAGATATGGGAGACCAAGCGTCTAGAGGAGGTCCTCGAACGGGTAAGCGTCTAGAGGAGGTCCTCGAACGGGTAAGCGTCTAGGAAAGGTCCTCGAACGGGTAAGCGTCTAGGGGAGGTCCTCGAACGGGTAAGCGTCAAGAGGAGGTCCTCGAACGGGTAAGCGCCTAGAGGAGGTCCTCGAACGGGGAATCGTCTAGAGGAGGTCCTCGAACGGGTACGCGTCTAGAGGAGGTCCTCGAACGGGTTAGCGTCTAGAGGAGGTCCTCGACCGGGTAAGCGTCTAGAGGAGGGCCTCGAACGGGTAAGCGTCCAGAGGATGGCCTCGAACGGGTAAGCGTCTAGAGGAGGGCCTCGAACGGGTTAGCGTCTAGAGGTGGTCCTCGCACGGGTAAGCGTTTAGAGGAGGTCCTCGAACGGGTAAGCGGCTAGAGGAGGTCCTCGAACGGGGAAGCGGCTAGAGGAGGGCCTCGAACGGGGAAGCGTCTAGAGGAGGTCCTCGAACAGGTAAGCGTCTAGAGGAGGTCCTCGGACGGGTAAGCGTCTAGCGGAGGTCCTCGAACGGGTAAGCGTCTAGGGGAGGTCCTCGAACGGGTAAGCGTCAAGAGGAGGTCCTCGAACGGGTAAGCGTCTAGAGGAGGTCCTCGAATGGGTAAGCGTGTAGAGGTGGTCCTCGAGCGGGTAAGCGTCTAGAGGAGGTCCTCGAACGGGTAAGCGTCTAGAGGAGGTCCTCGCACGGGTTAGCGTCTAGAGGAGGTTCTCGAACGGTTGAGCGTGTAGAGGAGGTCCTCGAACGGGTAAGCGTGTAGAGGAGGTCCTCGAGCGGGTAAGCGTCTAGAGGAGGGCCTCGAACGGGTAAGCGTCTAGAGGAGGTCCTCGCACGGGTAAGCGTCTAGAGGAGGTTCTCGAACGGGTAAGCGTCTAGAGGAGGTCCTCGAACGGGTAAGCGTCAAGAGGAGGTCCTCGAACGGGTAAGCGTGTAGAGGAGGTCCTCGAACGGGAAAGCTTCTAGATGAGGGTCTCGAACGGGTAAGCGTCTAGAGGAGGTCCTCGAACGGGTAAGCGTCTAGAGGAGGTCCTCGAACAGGTAAGCGTTTAGGTCAGAATAGGTAGACACGAACACGATTTCACATTACGTGTGATCATGTGGGTCTTAACATCACGATCAACGGTAGAGGTAGTTACATGACGGATACTTAAGTGTTCATGTCGTTACAGAACAGGTAAACGGACGGTCGTAGTAAAAGGACGGGTAAATGAAATAACGATGTCACTGGGATTTCCCTTTTCTTCTTTCGGTGACTGTAATGCTTTCTTGTCACACATCATGATACGGTACAATAGGCAGTATGGATTGAAAATGCTTAAGATAAAATGATGGTAAAACTGTATGATTACTACATGATCCGGTACAATAGGCAATATGGATTGAAAATGTTTAAGATAAAATGATGGTAAAACTGTATGATAAGGACATGATCTGGTACAATAGGCAGTATGGATTTGAAATGTTTAAGATAAAATGACGGTAAACTGTATGATTAGAACATGATCCGGTACAATAGGCAGTATGGATTGAAAATGATTACGATAAAATGATGGTAAAACTGTATGATTAGTACATGATCTGGTACCATAGGCAATATGGATTGAAAATGTTTAAGATAAAATGACGGTTAAACTGTATGATAAGGACACAATCCGGTACAATAGGCAATATGGATTTAAAATGTTGAAGATAAAATGACGGTAAAGCTGTATGATTAGTACATGATCTGGTACAATAGGCAATATCGATTTTAAATGTTTAAGATAAAATGACGGTAAAACTGTAGGATTATTACATGATACAATTTAAATATCAAAATCACTATAGATGGAAAGATGCACATATTTCAAACAGCGATAAGCCATTGATATTTGCAAAAATAATATGTATAATGGCAGGGCAGAACATATATACTACCTAAATATCGCGTATAAAAAAAAATATACAACATTTTTATAGCACCCGATATATTTTTTAAAATTATTCTAAAGCGCTTTACAACATATTGTTAAATTGTAATGGTATTAGCTATAATTGATAAACAAAGAAGGCACACAAATCATCAGTATACATGAAGTAAAATGATAATGGTGAAAAAAAGGTGAAAAAGGATTGTTTATTTGTGGGTGAGGTTTATAATTTGTTATTGACGTTGATTTGTGTGTAATGATTGTTTGATATTGAAGTTTGTTTGTTATTTAAGTTTGCTTGTCTGTCGGAGGAAGGGGAAGTCTACCACACATATTGCCTCAACTACACCAAAGGACTGAACTATTTGGAAAAGTTAAAAAAGAATGATGACTACTGTGAATTCGAAAAGGTACCAATGACCATCTATGTTATATGACCTGCGTGTTAACGCTGGCCAATGAAAAACGTTCTACTGGTGTCCATTTGCATGCTTATTACTGACTTTCAATGTGCGTACGGGTATTATAAACACGTATTGGCCGCGTAATACTGGTTAACACTGATAGACAAATAACTGACGTCATTTGGCATGAGATTTAGTAATTTCATTTTGCGTTCGTGCGCTATTCCCACTACCAGTTTAATAGGGTAGCTACACTGTCCATGTAGAGACCTTATAACACACATCTGTAGACGATTACGACTTGTTTATGTCAGAACTCTAACCGTTAATCACTATTCTATCAGATGTATTAGGGAGGTTAATACATATGGTAAATTGATGTCTAAAAAGTAAATAAATTAAGAACAAATACACTGAGATTTACATACAATTGAATCGAAAGATAACACCTTCCCGTGCTGTTTGGAGACGTATACAGATAAATAAAAGTAATATAGGAAAACGAAATATATAGCATAGCTTAAGGACATAGAGAGAACAAAAGGTGGCAATGAAGGAACCGAGGAGACAACGAAACGAAAAATATCTTGACCACATCAGATAAAATCTAGGATAGGTCCTGAGGTGTAAGACCCTGATGTAACCATAACACTTCTCAGTATTACATTATATACAAAGTAAAATACATCTTTTGTTATTTGTTGTTTGAGCAGGAGTCCAGTTCTATTTATTTCTGTACAGTTATGTACCTCGTCTGTTTATCAGTGGTGTGAGCAGGACCCAAGATGTAACCGCCTACAGCTGAATGACCTGTTGGTATCTCCAATGCAGCACTGTACTAAACTACCGCTCCTCCTTGCCAATATACGCAAGTACACTCTGATCGAGTCGGACCGAGGCCTGTTAGCGGCAGCCATTGGCAAGCTCGAGGTCTCCTTACGTATGTCAATAATTACAACCTCTTTATAAAACAAAGAGATATCGATTGAATTATTGGTCGAATATTCAACCAAACCATTTATGTGATTGGTTTGCGCATACGTATAATTAGAATTGTTTCCCTTCAATGACCTCATTTGGTATATGTCTATAGTGCGGGAGATTTTACTACTCCTTAATGATATCATCAACATTCTTTTCCATAACAGAACGGACGTGTGTCCTGAATAATTACCCTAATCATAGAAATAGAGGACAAAGTTAATGAGTTGACTAATTGTTGCTATGTGCTGTATTCTAAATGTTTGTATGGATACATGTTATATATTTAGATAGAATCCATATTATTTTTCATTCATTAGATATATAACAGTATGTCCAATATTAAAACAATTACAACGAAAAGTAAATAAAACCATTATTTTATCGAACGTGTACTGCAAGATTATAGTTAACAGTTAAAGTATGTGTATTTCGGGATATAGCAAGTTTATGATCCCCCGAGGCCAGGACTATTTCCCGAGGCTTCGCCTCGGGAAATAATCCTGGCCTCGGGGGATCATAAACTTGCTACATGTATATCCCGAAATACCCATACTTCAACTGTTTTATTATACCGATACAAACACTCCCTTACAAATTTTAAATACTATTAGATAACAAATTTTCCATGTCCGCGATATCCAAACCCTTTTCAGTGAAGTAGCTAGAGAGCAAAGTAACGGATGCCAGTACTGTTTTTTTTTGTGTTCCAACTGTCTTTTGCCTCCAATATGTCCGACAACTCGCTCTTGTCCAACACAGAAAACCTGGGGGTCACTATTTCTGTTGTCGTCTGTCAACAACAATGCGAGGTGAAGGTCGGTCCAGAAAGTACCGGCTCCGCTGGCCGGAAATAGCCGACGTAATTCGATTGCGCTGATTGGTCAATATTCGGTCAGGCCCCGCCCACGACGTCACTCAATTTCCCGCATTTTCCGAGGGAAATAGTTTCAAAACTATCGCACCCCTCCAGACGAACTATTTCCCTGGCATGAAGTTAGAGGAGAAATAGCTTGTTTATGTGGTTACTTTTGTATAATGTAAAATAAGTAGAGGTATAATAAAATCAGCTAATTAACCTTATACCCTCATGAGCTATAAATGTAATAAATAGTTATCGATTCTAAGGTTTACATGTAGTCATTGACATTGCGAATCATGTAATATATGGATTGGAATCCAGTACATGAATCATTTGAATAATAATGGCCTTAAAGATATAATCGTAATAATTGTATTTGTAAAGATAGGGATAAATATGGATAAGACGAAGGAGTAGGGAATATGGTGGTCATTGCTGTGTTGCACGTGTTATATTGTCTTTGCTTTTTATATTTAAATGAGGTGCAGCAGACTTTCCGGCCCCATACTTCACAAGTAGTAGCAATATTTGTCGCTCATACCCTTTTGTCTATTTGTCGCTCATACCCTTGTGTCTATTTGTCACTCCTATATAAGGCCTGTCCTTCTTTATTTCATTAAGTTTCCATCCTGATCACTTTTCACTTTGCCAACTGGGTCGGCAAAGATAAGTGTCCGTATTTTCGAAATAAATAGATAAATAGTTAAATAAAAGAATTCATGAATATCGATTTTGGTTAATCGATATTGATGAAGAAGCAGCTTGAAGAATTGGTGAGGATAGCACTCTAATTCCTCTCACTGTCAGAAGGGTTAGGGTTAGGCTTAGGGTTGAGTGAGGATAGCACTCTAGTTCCTCTCGCTGTCAGAAGGGTTAGGGTTAGGGTTAGGGTTGAGTGAGGAAAGCACTCTAGTTCCTCTCGCTGTCAGAAGGGTTAGGGTTAGGGTTGAGTGAGGAAAGCACTCTAGTTCCTCTCGCTGTCAGAAGGGTTAGGGTTAGGGTTAGGGTTGAGTGAGGATAGCACTCTAGTTCCTCTTGCTGTCAGAAGGGTTAGGGTTAGGGTTGAGTGAGGAAAGCACTCTAGTTCCTCTCGCTGTCAGAAGGGTAAGGGTTAGGGTTAGGGTTAGGGTTGAGTGAGGATAGCACTCTAGTTCCTCTCGCTGTCAGAAGGGTTAGGGTTAGGGTTGAGTGAGGAAAGCACTCTAGTTCCTCTCGCTGTCAGAAGGGTTAGGGTTAGGGTTAGGGTTAGGGTTGAGTGAGGATAGCACTCTAGTTCCTCTCGCTGTCAGAAGGGTTAGGGTTAGGGTTGGGGTTAAGTGAGGATAGCACTCTAGTTCCTCTCGCTGTCAGAAGGGTTAGGGTTAGGGTTAGGGTTAGGGTTAGGGTTAGGGTTAGGGTTAAGTGAGGATAGCACTCTAGTTCCTCTCGCTGTCAGAAGGGTTAGGGTTAGGGTTAAGTGAGGATAGCACTCTAGTTCCTCTCGCTGTCAGAAGGGTTAGGGTTAGGGTTGAGTGAGGATAGCACTCTAGTCCCTCTCGCTGTCAGAAGGGTTAGGGTTGAGTGAGGAAAGCACTCTAGTTCCTCTCGCTGTCAGAAGGGTTTGGGTTAGGGTTAGGGTTGAGTGAGGATAGCACTCTAGTTCCTCTTGCTGTCAGAAGGGTTAGGGTTAGGGTTAGGGTTGAGTGAGGATAGCACTCTAGTTCCTCTCGCTGTCAGAAGGGTAAGGGTTAGGGTTAGGGTTAAGTGAGGATAGCACTCTAGTTCCTCTCGCTGTCAGAAGGGTTAGGGTTAGGGTTGAGTGAGGATAGCACTCTAGTCCCTCTCGCTGTCAGAAGGGTTAGGGTTAGGGTTGAGTGAGGATAACACGCTAGTTCCTCTCGCTGTCAAAAGGGTTAGGGTTAGGGTTGAGTGAGGATAGCACTCTAGTCCCTCTCGCATGTCAAACCGTTTGATATCAAAGTTTATGTTTGCACAGATTTACCGACTCCGCATTGTTTCCATGACGTTTTAGGGAACTAAAGGCGGTTTTGAGGTCGCAAAACTAGAACTGAGAGTTCTGTATTGAAATGATTTTTGATGGATAGTTATTGAGAGAGTAAGGGCATTTCAAGAGTGTGTTATATTCACTTTTCACGGTCAGTTTTCAAAGATGGTGATTAAAATTGGCCGCTGTACCAGCAAAGGTTATTTAAACTTTAATAGTAACGGGATCTAAATTGTCCGTGGTAACAGTGATTTATAATGGCTGTGGTGATGGTGAATGAAACTGTCTGTGATGATAGTGATTCAAATTGTCTAAGACGAAATTGGATTGAACTTGGCGTTGTATTATTGATGTGAAACAGTCCGTGGTGAAAATGGTTTACGTTTGGCGTTGTTAATTGATATGAAACTGCCCGTGGTGACATTATCATATAACGAACTATCCTTGGCTTTGATGATGACAGTCTCCGTGGTAATACTAATGAAATTCTCAGTTATGATAGTGATTTCAACTCTCCGTCCTGATAATGGTTTGTATTGTTGTAGTGATGGGTTAGGGTTAGGGATTTTAGCTGTCCGTCGTGATAGCGATTTTGACTGTCCGTCGTGATAGTGATTTTGACTGTCCGTCGTGATAGTGATTTAAACTGTCCGTCGTGATAGTGATATAAACTGTCCGTCGTGATAGTGATATTGACTCTCCGTCGTGATAGTGATTTAAACTCTAAGTGGTGTTAGTGTTTACTGTCCATTCTGATAATGGCATTTACTGTTGTAGTGATAGTGATTTTAACTGTCCGTCGTGATAGTGACTTACACTCTCGTAGTGATAGTGATTTTAACTGTCCGTTGTGATAGTGACTTACACTCTCGTAGTGATAGTGGTTGCACCGTCTCCGTTGAGAGATATTTGAACTGTGCGTGATGAACATGGTTTTAACTCTCCACGGTGATAAAACTGTCTTTGGTGGTAATGATTTAAATTGTCAGTGTTATTAATGATTTACACTGATGGTGGTTATTCTCTCTGTGGTAATAACGGTTATTCTCTCTGTGGTGTTAATGGTTATTCTCTCTGTGGTAATAATGGTTATTCTCTCTGAGGTGATGATGGTTATTCTCTCTGTGGTAATAATGGTTATTCTCTCTGTGGTGATGATGGTTATTCTCTCTGTGGTGTTTATGGTTATTCTCTCTGTGGTAATAATGGTTATTCTCTCTGTGGTAATAATGGTTATTCTCTCTGTGGTAATAATGGTTATTTTCTCTGTGGTAATAATGGTTATTCTCTCTGTGGTGATGATGGTTATTCTCTCTGTGGTAATAATGGTTATTCTCTCTGTGTTGATAATAGTTATTATCTCTGTGCTGATAATGGTTATTCTCTCTGTGGTAATAATGGTTATTCTCTCTGTGGTAATAATGGTTATTCTCTCTGTGGTAATAATGGTTATTCTCTCTGTGGTAATAATGGTTATTCTCTCTGTGGTAATAATGGTTATTCTCTCTGTGGTAATAATGGTTATTCTCTCTGTGGTAATAATGGTTATTCTCTCTGTGGTAATAATGGTTATTCTCTCTGTGGTAATAATGGTTATTCTCTCTGTGGTAATAATGGTTATTCTCTCTGTGGTAATAATGGTTATTCTCTCTGTGGTAATAATGGTTATTCTCTCTGTGGTAATAATGGTTATTCTCTCTGTGGTAATAATGGTTATTCTCTCTGTGGTAATAATGGTTATTCTCTCTGTGGTAATAATGGTTATTCTCTCTGTGGTAATAATGGTTATTCTCTCTGTGGTAATAATGGTTATTCTCTCTGTGGTAATAATGGTTATTCTCTCTGTGGTAATAATGGTTATTCTCTCTGTGGTAATAATGGTTATTCTCTCTGTGGTAATAATGGTTATTCTCTCTGTGGTAATAATGGTTATTCTCTCTGTGGTAATAATGGTTATTCTCTCTGTGGTAATAATGGTTATTCTCTCTGTGGTAATAATGGTTATTCTCTCTGTGGTAATAATGGTTATTCTCTCTGTGGTGATAATGGTTATTCTCTCTGTGGTAATAATGGTTATTCTCTCTGTGGTGATAATGGTTATTCTCTCTGTGGTGATAATGGTTATTCTCTCTGTGGTAATAATGGTTATTCTCTCTGTGGTAATAATGGTTATTCTCTCTGTGGTAATAATGGTTATTCTCTCTGTGGTAATAATGGTTATTCTCTCTGTGGTAATAATGGTTATTCTCTCTGTGGTAATAATGGTTATTCTCTCTGTGGTAATAATGGTTATTCTCTCTGTGGTAATAATGGTTATTCTCTCTGTGGTAATAATGGTTATTCTCTCTGTGGTAATAATGGTTATTCTCTCTGTGGTAATAATGGTTATTCTCTCTGTGGTAATAATGGTTATTCTCTCTGTGGTAATAATGGTTATTCTCTCTGTGGTAATAATGGTTATTCTCTCTGTGGTAATAATGGTTATTCTCTCTGTGGTAATAATGGTTATTCTCTCTGTGGTAATAATGGTTATTCTCTCTGTGGTAATAATGGTTATTCTCTCTGTGGTAATAATGGTTATTCTCTCTGTGGTAATAATGGTTATTCTCTCTGTGGTAATAATGGTTATTCTCTCTGTGGTAATAATGGTTATTCTCTCTGTGGTAATAATGGTTATTCTCTCTGTGGTAATAATGGTTATTCTCTCTGTGGTAATAATGGTTATTCTCTCTGTGGTAATAATGGTTATTCTCTCTGTGGTAATAATGGTTATTCTCTCTGTGGTAATAATGGTTATTCTCTCTGTGGTAATAATGGTTATTCTCTCTGTGGTAATAATGGTTATTCTCTCTGTGGTAATAATGGTTATTCTCTCTGTGGTAATAATGGTTATTCTCTCTGTGGTGATAATGGTTATTCTCTCTGTGGTGATAATGGTTATTCTCTCTGTGGTGATAATGGTTATTCTCTCTGTGGTGATAATGGTTATTCTCTCTGTGGTGATAATGGTTATTCTCTCTGTGGTGATAATGGTTATTCTCTCTGTGGTGATAATGGTTATTCTCTCTGTGGTGATAATGGTTATTCTCTCTGTGGTGATAATGGTTATTCTCTCTGTGGTGATAATGGTTATTCTCTCTGTGGTGATAATGGTTATTCTCTCTGTGGTGATAATGGTTATTCTCTCTGTGGTGATAATGGTTATTCTCTCTGTGGTGATAATGGTTATTCTCTCTGTGGTGATAATGGTTATTCTCTCTGTGGTGATAATGGTTATTCTCTCTGTGGTGATAATGGTTATTCTCTCTGTGGTGATAATGGTTATTCTCTCTGTGGTGATAATGGTTATTCTCTCTGTGGTGATAATGGTTATTCTCTCTGTGGTGATAATGGTTATTCTCTCTGTGGTGATAATGGTTATTCTCTCTGTGGTGATAATGGTTATTCTCTCTGTGGTGATAATGGTTATTCTCTCTGTGGTGATAATGGTTATTCTCTCTGTGGTGATAATGGTTATTCTCTCTGTGGTGATAATGGTTATTCTCTCTGTGGTGATAATGGTTATTCTCTCTGTGGTGATAATGGTTATTCTCTCTGTGGTGATAATGGTTATTCTCTCTGTGGTGATAATGGTTATTCTCTCTGTGGTGATAATGGTTATTCTCTCTGTGGTGATAATGGTTATTCTCTCTGTGGTGATAATGGTTATTCTCTCTGTGGTGATAATGGTTATTCTCTCTGTGGTGATAATGGTTATTCTCTCTGTGGTGATAATGGTTATTCTCTCTGTGGTGATAATGGTTATTCTCTCTGTGGTGATAATGGTTATTCTCTCTGTGGTGATAATGGTTATTCTCTCTGTGGTGATAATGGTTATTCTCTCTGTGGTGATAATGGTTATTCTCTCTGTGGTGATAATGGTTATTCTCTCTGTGGTGATAATGGTTATTCTCTCTGTGGTGATAATGGTTATTCTCTCTGTGGTGATAATGGTTATTCTCTCTGTGGTGATAATGGTTATTCTCTCTGTGGTGATAATGGTTATTCTCTCTGTGGTGATAATGGTTATTCTCTCTGTGGTGATAATGGTTATTCTCTCTGTGGTGATAATGGTTATTCTCTCTGTGGTGATAATGGTTATTCTCTCTGTGGTGATAATGGTTATTCTCTCTGTGGTGATAATGGTTATTCTCTCTGTGGTGATAATGGTTATTCTCTCTGTGGTGATAATGGTTATTCTCTCTGTGGTGATAATGGTTATTCTCTCTGTGGTGATAATGGTTATTATCTCTGTGGTGATAATGGTTATTATCTCTGTGGTGATAAGCGTTATTCTCTCTGTGGTGTTAATGGTTATTCTCTCTGTGGTGATAATGGTTATTCTCTCTGTGGTGTTAATGGTTATTCTCTCTGTGGTGTTCATGGTTATTCTCTCTGTGGTGATAGAGATTTTAACTGTTATATCATGTGAGGTGATAGTGATTTTAACTGTTATATCATGTGAGGTGATAGTGATTTTAACTGTTATATCATATGAGGTGATAGTAATTTAACTGTTATATCATGACTGATATGAAACTGTAGGTGAAAAGAAAATTGGAAATTTTATATTTAAAATGATTTTGTCATTTCCTATTATCTGTCATTTACCATTTTCTGACATTTACAATTATTTGGCATTTACAGTGAACCATAATCTGTCACACACCGCTATCGGACATTTACCATTATCTGGAATTTACCATTATCTAGCATTTACCATTATCTGGTATTTACCATTATCTGGCATTTACCATTATCTGGTATTTACCATTATCTTGCATTTACCATTAGCTGACATTTACCATTATCTTGTATTTACCATTATCTGACATTTACCATTATGTTGCATTTACCATTATCTGACATTTACCATTATCTTGCATTTACCATTATCTGACATTTACCATTATCTGGCATTTACCATTATCTGACATTTATCATTATCTGGCATTTACCATTATCTGACATTGATCATTATCTGGCATTTACCGTTATCTGGTATTTACCATTATCTGACATTTACCATTATCTGGCATTTACCATTATCTGACATTTATCATTATCTGGCATTTACCATTATCTAACATTGATCATTATCTGGCATTTACCATTATCTGATATTTACCATTATCTGACATTTACGGTTATCTGGCATTTACCATTATCTGACATTTACCATTATTTAACATTTACCATTATCTGGTATTTACCATTATCTGGCATTTACCAGTATCTGGTACTTACCATTATCTTGCATTTACCATTATCTGACATTTACCATTATCTGGCATTTACCGTTATCTGGCATTTACCATTATCTGACATTTACCATTATCTGGCATTTACCATTATCGGACATTTACCATTATCGGACATTTACCGTTTTCTGGCATTTACCATTATCTGACATTTACCATTATCAGGCATTTACCATTATCTGACGGTTAGTTGACTAGTTTGTCAACCTTTCCGATGGTCTGTCTAGTATTGCATACTGTTCTAGCTAACTTGTCATTCCTCTTTGCTAGACGTGATTGAAAGATTACGAAAGTCACAAAAAGGAGTTAAATACATTTGTATATCAATTCGCTGTTTTGGTTTTAGAACGCCATAGTGAATGAGACGATTGGATGTAGCATCACCAGTTGAGATGGGATGATTACAGGTTGATAAGAGCATTGCTAGAAAGATGATTACTAATTCGCTTATACGTATACTTTGTTTAAATAGCTTCTCTAAAGGACGAGGTAATCATATTGACCTGCATATATCGATGTCGTACACGTATATCATACACAGCATATCTGTCCATTACCTTTAATGTTGTTTGATTTTTTATCATTAACAGCTTAGGTAATTTAAGGTATAGCCTCTATGTATGTGCGCTTGAGGCGGTTGGTGTATTTTCCTTCTCGTCAAAGCGTGGTTCTGATGCCGACTTTATAGTGCAATGTCAAAGGCAACCAGTACTGTAATCAACCCGGTCTCATTATACTGAAATAAGATTAACGATATGTTACAATTACTAGAAATGCCTAACGTTAAGTTGATAATACCTACTACTATTTTAAAGTCTTTGGTATGTCCAGGCTTGCTGGCAAAACCTTCTGTCTTCCTCACATGGGTGACAATTTGACACACAAGCCAAAAATGGGGGTTTGGCAAGAATAACACTAAGGACCATAAGAGTTGTTATGATATAAAGTAGAGAGAAAATGTAAAGATCCTAAATGTTGCAATGTGTGCAGTAGATAGATTTTGGAAAGGGCGCAACAGCAAATCCCCTATTACAACATAAGTCGTTTCATACCACATTGTTAAAATGATATTTCCAAAGGTACTTGAAGCATTACACAAAAGAAACCCGAGTTTTTACTTGTGTTGTTTATGAATCATTGTTTATAGAAAATTTGGAAGAGAAAATGCGTAAGGAACGGAATATACAACGTCTACAGGAAATTCAACAACAACTGGTATGGCCCTCTATATCCGACCTCGATCCAAAAGTGTACATTCCCGACGTACGTATACCTAAACATTAAAGTTTGTCATGTATGTACAAATATTATATTTCTGACACGTGTATGTTATCTGTGTAATTCCGACGTACATTTGTTTCTTGTGAAATGTTGACGTATTTTACAATCTTGACGTGCATACGTTACGATTCAGATGCTAATTTATCTATATTAATATACCAACACACATGCACAGGTTTCACAAGGAATGATTAAGAAGTATAACGTCACGTGGTTAACCAAGTGTCTTACAATTTGAATTAACGGAGCTGGAAAACATGATAGTATGTCTTCACGATTCCGGGAAAGATATGCCCCTAAAACGTTCATGCATGTATCATATCTTAGGGAGAACTATTTTCCCGTCGGAAACGATTATTTCTGTTTCCAATTGGACGAACTATTGTCATGACAATGACGTAACTCTAACAATGATGGCGCCAAGCAGAGTTCCTTGACGTCATAATTAGAAGATTTACCAATCAAATTAACCAAATGATAGTCGTTTTGGAGCCAACCCCCATAACTAAGAGAAAAATGAAAATATATTTAAACAGTAATTAACCTACACACAGGTGCATCTTTAATTTTGATTTGCTTCTTACTATTCATATTAACAGTTTCTGAAGTCAAGTCTTTCCATTCAACCTTGTACGAAGCTCCTCTCGTGTCCCAAAAGGCAACTAATGCACGAAGGATTAATGACATTAGTAGGTGGGTATTTCCCTGCAGTATAAGGTAAGAGAGATAACTCGTACATGTACCTAAGGAGGACATTCATGTTATTCCCGCAAACAAGAGTTATTCCCCATGATAAGTGGTGAGCAAATGATAAACAGCATTATAACATGATCAAAGGTTTTGCCCTTTGTACCGAGTAGAAGGCATACTTTTTTCTTAATTTATTTTCACTTCATTTACCTGGGATGTACTTATTCGTATATATATGATATATATTTTCCAGAGGCGACAAAGACAATAGACGTGCACTTGTTCCTGTTCGACGACATTTTGCTGATTACAAAAATAAAGAAATCTGTCAAGAAGGTAAATACTTATTATTCATTGACATTCTGCTAATAACAAAGAATCCGTAGCGAAGGTAAGAAGTTAGAGGGCCTATCACTATAGTACTGAGAGTTTCTGTAGTGAAGGATCTATATTAAACAGAAAGATTTAACGATATCGTTAGCGGGGTAACAATCCTTTTCTGTAGAAAAATGAAAAGATGAGCACTAACATATTTCGTCCGTTTGTAAAAAATGCGACACAATTTTTGAATCACATCGTGAGGTATAAAACAACGATTTGTGATATGGTTGACATCACTGGAGTTTATTGTTATTACATATTATATATCATTGGAGTACATTGTTATACCATATTATATATCTTTGATATACATTGTTATACTATATATACTACATCTTTACTTTATGTTGCATTATATATATACATATTATAGTATACCGTCGGTTTTCGTTGCTATAAAGATTGAGGTAACCCACACGCACGTGGTAGCACCTATACAATTTTGTAATAGATACAGTATACCAAAACAGAATGGCTCTGCACCATACAGCTAGTTCGTCCTTCTAGGACCCACTGACGATTCTAACGGCCAAAAAGGTTGAAACCATATTTGTCTAAAATACTGTCGCAAAAAAAGGGAATGTGCAAACAAACTCCTAATTATGTTAATTTAAAAACTTCCATTCGTCCTTGATAACTTCAGATCGATGATGATGACTAAAGTGTACGGACCGTGCCACTACTAAACAGGTCCCTGTTGCCTTCAAGGTTACAACAAACCTGAAACAAATCCCCAGCAATATTCCACCTAGTTTCTCCAAAGATGAACGCAACATTTCTGGTGTCGCTCATATTTCTCTAATTCCCTTTGGTGTTCTTTAAGACGTGTACCAACTGTCTTCTCAGTTTCTCCTATTTATGACTACTGCCAATTTGTGCACGATATCATGTGTATTTACTCTCTAAAGCCAGGCGAAACATACAGTTTCGTCACATCGTTATACAGGTTATACACATGGCTCACTCAGTTAAAGCCAGACGAAAGGACCAGTCTGTCTGGATACGTTACGACACGTTTAAAATGTATACAGTTTGAGTACAAAGTGAAGTTTTGAAGGATTTGGTAGTTGATAAAATGTGTCAGAAATGAATTACTCTGACAAATTTTTTATAACAGTCAACAATTTTCAACAACTGATAACAATCATTCATGTTCAAATGAGCATTATAAAAAGTTTAAATGGAATAGGTACGTAAACAGGAAATGCGGAGGAACTATGATAATAATGACTATATATTCACATTCCAATGCGTAAACCTTTTTTTCTGTAGAAAGTATAATGGCCACCCACTTGGCTTGACTATACATGTAACTCCGTTGTTTACTTCGGTTTGTTGCGTTATGGGACTTACATACTCACATTAATGGAAGTTAATAAAATCGTCCAGTCTTGTCACATTCATCTGCATGTATTTGATGTTGCTTTTTTTTATTTCAGAAACAAAATACCCCGGAAACGTATAATACCAATGATTGTAACTCCTATACAGTACATCGCCAACCCATAGCTTTAGACCGCTTAAGTGTGCACGACGTCGGTATGTCGGAGGCATCAGGTATGTATAGTTGTAATATGTCAGGTGACGTAGACTTGCTATGTTTTATTGTGAGATAAAGTTCGTTTTTGAAATAATTGAAATGTTTCTGGCTTTGACTGTAAGGAATAATTGTATTAAAAAACGGTTTCAGAAAATAAGGATCCACAACTTAGTCAATAATCGTTGATGTTCTTATTGTGGTTGGTTTTGTTTCGACTTTGGTACGTTCTTGTTGGCAGCAAACGGCCTTAAACACTGTATCGTCTTGGTCCACATCAGCAGATTCCAACAAATCATAGGTGTTTATACACTGCAATCGACCAGCGAGTACGTAAAGGTGAGACCCTTGAAACAATTTAGTCATGTTTAGCTTAATAATGTAGAAACGCGTTATTTCGAAAAACGACATTTGTACTATTTTGTGTATATTATAGGTTTAATTGTTTCTTAGAACAAACTAAAAAGTATTTAACAATAATATACATGAACACAATCGATTTTTTTGAACTTGTACGAATTATTAAGTATCAGCTTTCTGGTAATGATTTTGTCTTAAACGTGCTGTTTTCTTCGCGTTCGGTTTGTTTACATACGTGTAACAGATATGGTATATATGTGAATTTTCTAATAATGTTGGTATCACCAATAGGATTACTGGATGACAAAGCTATGTGATGCCAAGAAAAAATACCATTCCTCCTCTCACGACGATGGTGTGAATGGCCTGATCGACTACAGCCAGCACCTGTCACCGAGTACGACCACAGCGACCAGCACTACTCCCACCGCTACCAATCTTACAACAGGCGACATTTCACCGCGCAGACTCAGACGGGCACGCATGCTCAGTCATCATAAAAAGAAGTCAGTCAGCATGGATACGGTCTTCATCACGTAGTGTACATTTCTACTTGATCATATAAATGTTTTCTATGTGTGTTGTTGTTCCGGGAAAAAACTTCATCTTTATCCGGAAATTCAAGCAAAGTATCAAATTGTCTGTGATATTAAATGTCTATATTATAAATATTAAGCTACCAAAGGAGTTGAGATTGTTGTGTTATATTGTCTGTGAGAGTCGACGGATAATACATGACAAAAACGAAACTGATTTTTCGCAAATGTTTATTGAATATAAATTGAGTCATGTGTACCTATTAGGGATGTTGACTATTAGGCACGTGAAGTTTCTATTAGTTTAGGGTGGTCCTGCACCGTTGTGATATCATATAGACCATCATAACATCATACTGGAAAATACAATATCATACAAAAACATTTCAACAACATATCATCAATATACTATACAGTGATCTGGAGGTATTACATACAAACCGGCGCTGTATTACAGATATATATTATTTAATCTACTAGCGCAACCACAACCTTGTCTTGAATGTCAGCATCAATATCTCGGAAAATTGTTTCAAATATTTGTGTAAAGGTGACTAAATATATCGCATGTTAAAGTCTGTCAGTTAGATGCAAAGTCACCAATAGATTTGATGCTTACCTTTACCACCTCCTGACGTGAATACCATGACGCTTTGACAATCGATAGCAGGGACATGATTGAATGGTAAAAACATAAGATAGGTGTATCAAAAAGACTGATCCTTCTTGTCCAAACTAGATTGTGTGTCAGAGAAATCTGTTCTATCTAAATTTGGTTTGTTTATCGAACAAAGTAAGCTTTTGCTGTAAATAAAGTAAGCTTTGTCACATCACCATGGCTTTGGAATCTACCATATAAACCACTCCTGTCTAAATGTAGCTGATGCAGTCGATCGATTACAATTTTTCATTTAAATATTTACTAAGCATGAACAAGAATAAGCCTCCCCGCTTCATAATGACTATATCGCATCGACTGAACTTTTATATAGAACCAATAAAACACAAAGTGTAGCGGACAGGAGGATTGGGTATCGCATTACGCCTTTAGTGTACATGGCATAGAATATATGATAACATGATATCATAAACACATGATTACATCAGCACAAATATGAATTCAATTGGATGGAACTTCATTAGTTGGGACCTCAAATCTAGAATACATCTGATATCTGAAAAATTACAATTGGCACAACTTTATAACTGTAACCATTTGTCAACAATATGCAATTTCTTGTGGCTCAACAATACAGTCATCTGAAATGTCGTTAACAATACGAACGTCTGTAGTCTCACTCAACAATACAGACATCTGAGATGTCGTTAACAATACGAACGTCTGTAGTGTCACTCAACAATACAGACATCTGAAATGTCGTTAACAGTACGAACCTCTGTAGTGTCACCCAACAATACAGACATCGGAAATGTCGTTAACAATGCAAACTTCTGTAGTGTCACTCAATAATACAGTCATCTGAAATGTCGTTAAAAATACAAACTTCTGTAGTTTCACTCAATAATACAGACATCTGAAAAGTCGTTAACAATACGAACCTTTGTAGTGTCACTCAACATTCCAGACATCTGAGATGTCGTTACCAATACGAACGTCTGTAGTGTCACTCAACAATCCAGACATCTGAAATGTCGTTAGCAATACGAACCTCTGTATTGTCACTCTACATTACACACATCTGAAATGTCGTTAGCAATACGAACCTCTGTAGTGTCACCCAACAATACAGACATCGGAAATGTCGTTAACAATACGAACCTTTGTAGTGTCACTCAACAATACAGTCATCTCAAATGTCGTTAACAATACGAACTTCTGTAGTGTCACTCAATAATACAGACATCTGAAATGTCGTTAACAATACAAACTTCTGTAGTGTCACTCCACATGACAGACATCTGAGATGTCGTTTACAATACGAACTTCTGTAGTGTCACTCAACAATACAGACATCTGAGATGTCGTTAACAATACGAACCTCTGTATTGTCACTCTACATTACAGACATCTGAAATGTCGTTAACAGTACGAACTTCTGTAGTGTCACTCAACAATACAGACATCTTAGATGTCGTTAACAATACGAACTTCTGTAGTGTCACTCAATAATACAGACATGTGAAATGTCGTTAACAATACGAACTTCTGTAGTGTGACTCAATAATACAGACATCTGAAATGTCGTTAACATTACAAACTTCTGTAGTGTCACTCCACATGACAGACATCTGAGATGTCGTTTACAATACGAACTTCTGTAATGTCACTCTACATTACAGACATCTGAAATTTCGTTAACAATACGAACTTCTGTGGTGTCACTCAATAATACAGACATCTGAAATGTCATTAACAATACAAACTTCTGTAGTGTCACTCCACATGACAGACAGCTGACATGTCGTTTACAATACGAACTTCTGTAGTGTCACTCAACAATACAGACATCTTAGATGTCGTTAACAATACGAACTTCTGTAGTGACACTCAACAATACAGACATCTGAGATGTCGTTAACAATACGAACCTCTGTAGTGTCACTCTACATTACAGACATCTGAAATTTCGTTAACAATACGAACTTCTGTAGTGTCACTCAATAATACAGACATCTGAAATGTCGTTAACAATACGAACTTCTGTAGTGTCACTATACATTACAGACATCTGAGATGTCGTTAACAGTACGAACTTCTGTAGTGTCACTCTACATTACAGACATCTGATATGTCGTTAACAATACGAACGTCTGTAGTGTCACTCTACATTACAGACATCTGAGATGTCGTTAACAATACGAACCTCTGTAGTGTCACTCTACATTACAGACATCTGAAATGTCGTTAACAATACGAACTTCTGTAGTGTCACTCAACAATACAGACCTCTGAGATGTCGTTAACATTACGAACCGCTGTAGTGTCACTCTACATTACAGACATCTGAAATGTCGTTAACAGTACGAACTTCTGTAGTGTCACTCTACATTACAGACATCTGAGATGTCGTTAACAATACGAACTTCTGTAGTGTCACTCAACATTACAGACATCTGAGATGTCGTTTACAATACGAACTTCTGTAGTGTCACTCAACAATACAGATATCTGAGATGTCGTTAACAATACGAACTTCTGTAGTGTCACTCTACATTACAGACATCTGAGATGTCGTTAACAGTACGAACTTCTGTAGTGTCAGTCAACAATACAGACATCTGAAATGTCGTTAACAATACGAACTTCTGTAGTGTCACTCAACATTACAGACATCTGAGATGTCGTTAACAGTACGAACTTCTGTAGTGTCACTCAACATTACAGACATCTGAAATGTCGTTAACAATACGAATTTCTGAAGTATTCTTTAACAATACGAAGAATCCCTAAAAACAACAGACTTCAGAAGCGTCGTTCTAACTAATGACATTCCATTGTTATAAATGGTATAATTTTGGACATTGCACAATATGATCCAAAAAGTAAGTGAACCAGTACAGATTGCTACGCAGCTACACCATAATACAGGTGACCGAATTTGTTACGCCTACATGTACCAACTCTCACCAATATTTCTGCTCTGAGCGGAATTCCTCACACAACCAAATCTCACAAGCACACCGAACGGAGTTTCTCAACTACCTATATCGCAAACACTTCGGAATTCCTCACACTACCATACTAATAAACACATCGAGCTGAATTCCTCACACTACTATACTAGTAAACAAATCGAGCTGAATTCCTCACACTACCATACTAGTGAACACATCGAGCGGAATTCCTCACACTACCATACTAGTGAACACATCGAGCGGAATTCATCACACTACCATACTAGTAAACACATCGAGCGGAATTCCTCACACTACCATACTAGTGAACACATCGAGCTGAATTCCTCACACTACCATACTAGTAAACACATCGAGCGGAATTCCTCACACTATCATACTAGAAAACACATCGAGCGGAATTCCTCACACTACCATACTAGTAAACACATCGAGCTGAATTCCTCACACTACCATACTAGTAAACACATCGAGCGGAATTCCTCACACAGCCATACTAGTAAAAACATCGAACGGAATTCCTCACACTACCATACTACAGTAGTAAACACATCGAGCGGAATTCCTCACACAACCATACTAGTAAACACATCGAGCGGAATTCCTCACACAACCATATTAGTAAACACATCGAGCGGAATTCCTCACACCACCATACTAGTAAACACACTGGTCTGAATTCCTCACACTACCATACTAGTAAAAACATCGGGCTGAATTCCTCACACTACCATACTAGTAGAAACATCGAGCGGAATTCCTCACACTACCATACTAGTGAACACATCGAGCTGAATTCCTCACACTACCATACTAGTGAACACATCGAGCGGAATTCCTCACACTACCATGCTAGTAAACACATCGAGCGGAATTCCTCACACTACCATACTAGTAAAAACATCGAGCTGAGTTCCTCACACTACCATACTAGTAAACACATCGAGCGGAATTCCTCACGCTACCATACTAGTAAACACATCAAGCGGAATTCCTCACACTACCATACTAGTAAACACACTGGGCTGAATTCCTCACACTACCATACTTGTAAGCACATTGGGCTGAATTCCTCACACTACCATACTAGTAAACACACTGGGCTGAATTCCTCACACTACCATACTAGTAAACACACTGAGCGGAATTCCTCACACTACCATACTAGTAAACACACCGAGCGGAATTCCTCACACTACCATACGAGTAAACACATCGAGTGAAATTCCTCAACACATCAAGCGGAATTCCTCACACTACCATACTAGTAAAAACATCGAGCGGAATTCCTCACACTACCATACTAGTAAACACATCGAGCTGAATTCCTCACACTACTATACTAGTAAACACATCGAGCTGAATTCCTCACAATACCATACTAGTAAACACATCGAGCGGAATTCCTCACACTACCATACTAGTGAACACATCGAGCGGAATTCGTCACAATACCATACTAGTAAACACACCGGGCTGAATTTCTCACACAACTATACTAGTAAACACACTGGGCGGAATTCCTCACACAACTATACTAGTAAACACATCGAGCGGAAATCCTCACACAACCATACTAGTAAACACATCGAGTGAAATTCCTCACACTACCATACTAGTAAAAACATCGAGCGGATTACGTCCCAACAACTACTATCGCCGACACACAGAGCAGAATAACTCAAAGCTACTGTTCCACTCTCCTCAACACACCGACATGAATACCTCACACTTTTTTTAACCAGTTACGCAAAATAGCCTTCTGATATCAGCACACAATTATTACTTACACACGATGACATCTGAAATAACAAAATCCAATCAATATACAAAAAACGTGATCAATACATAATATTTGATTTAGTAAAACAGTCACGTAGAAATATTTCGAGGCAGACCTATTTTTCTAGATTATTACAAATACCAGGTTACAATGCTTAAATTTCAAACTTGATAATCACAATTATCAAAATTAAGCGGAACACTTCGAGCGGAATTCCTCACACTACCATACTAGTAAACACACCGGGCTGAATTTTTCACACAACCATACTAGTAAACACACCGGCCGAATCCCTCACACAACCATACTAGTAAACACACCGGGCTGAATTTCTGACACAACCATACTAGTAAACACACCGGCCGAATTCCTCACACAACCATACTAGTAAACACATCGAGCGGAATTCCTCACACTACCATACTTGTAAACACACCGGGCGGAAGTCCTCACACTACAATACTACAGTAGTAAACACACCGGGCGGAATTCCTCACAATACCATACTAGTTAATTCATCGAGCGGAATTCCTCACACTACCATACTACAGTAGTAAACACACCGGGCGGAATTCCTTACAATACCATACTAGTAAACACATCGAGCTGAATTCCTCACACTACCATACTAGTTAATTCATCGAGCGGAATTCCTCACACTACCATACTACAGTAGTAAACACACCGGGCGGAATTCCTCACAATACCATACTAGTAAACACACTGGCCGGAATTCCTCACACTACTTGTAAACACATCGAGCGAAATTCCTCACACTACCATACTAGTAAACACATCGAGTGAAATTCCTCACACTACTAGTAAACACATCGAGCGGATTACGTCCCAACAACTACTATCGCCGACACACAGAGCAGAATAACTCAGAGCTACTGTTCCACTCTCCTCAACACACCGACATGAATACCTCACACTTTTTTAACCAGTTACGCAAAATAGCCTTCTGATATCAGCACACAATTATTACTTACACACGATGACATCTGAAATAACAAAATCCAATCAATATCCAAAAAACGTGATCAATACATAATATTTGATTTAGTAAAACAGTCACGTAGAAATATTTCGAGGCAGACCTATTTTTCTAGATTATTACAAATACCAGGTTACAATGCTTAAATTTCAAACTTGATAATCACAAATATCAAAATTAAATAACATATTTTTTACGGCAGTTTCAACCTGCAGTAGCAGATCGACAAAAGTATGTTATTTTCGGATTCTGGACTTTAAACTAACTCCATACTTATTACGTTTGATTCTAATGCAAATGATAGAGTAACATACAGCCTCGTATAGATTTAGCTAATACACATTACCGATAAATCTTGGACACAATCATGAATAAATTGTTGCACATACATTCCAACAATAAAAGTAATGTCAAATAAATCATACATGTATACTAACTATACATACAATGTTCATTACCATATCCTTTTTAAGTTTGAGCAATCTAACTTTGATCACCACTTTACAGATGGCTTTGACCCGTTTAATTTCATGGGGACCACGTATACTACTGAACTACTACACTTTGGCGGTGACCAATCACAATATATTACCTGTAGAACCTGGCGTTGATCATACACATTACACTTGTTTATTGTGGCAGTGATCACTCACATCATTTTACCTGTGTAATATCGCAGTGATCACACACAATATTACACCTGTACAATATAGCAGTGATCACACACAATATTACACCGGTACAATATAGCAGTGATCCCATACAATATTACACCCGTATGATATAGCAGTAATCACACACAATATTACACCTGTACAATATAACAGTGATCACACACAATATTACACTTGTACAATATAGCAGGGATCACACACAATATTATACCGGTACAATATAGCAGTGATCACACTCAATATTACACCTGTACAATATAACAGTGATCACACACAATATTACACCTGGACAATATAGCAGTGATCAAACACACAATATTACACCAGTACAATATAGCAGTGATCAAACACACAATATTACACCAGTACAATATAGCAGTGATCAAACCCAATATTACACCTGTACAATATAACAGTGATCAAACACACAATATTACACCAGTACAATATAGCAGTGATCAAACCCAATATTACACCTGTACAATATAACAGTGATCACACACAATATTATACATGCACAATATAGCAGTGATCAAACACACAATATTACACCAGTACAATATAGCAGTGATCAAACACAATATTACACCGGTACAATATAGCAGTGATCCCATACAATATTACACCTGTATGATATAGCAGTAATCACACACAATATTACACCTGTACAATATAACAGTGATCAAACACACAATATTACACCTGTACAATATAGCAGTGATCACACACAATATTACACATGTACAATAAAGTGAATATCGTATTGGACATTGTATCGGTACAACTTGGTCACGGCCATACATGGCATTATGAACGTACGTACAAAATTGTACCCGTAAATATTTTGGTGATCGCCCCACGTGACTTCCAAAATACAGCCATGCAAATTACGGTAACTGTTTTATAGTGAAAACTGCCTAACCCATTCTCCGACTTTTTCAACAGCCTGTCAAATTAGCTTTTATATGTTTTTCCGAAATATGATGAGTCTGGTACTATTTGTAAAAAACATACAGGCACTTGAAATTCAATGAACATTTGATTAAATAAGTAAGTAGACGACAGAATTTCCCGAACAATACGATAAAGGTATGCCTCCACATGATGTGACTTTGACAAGTGGATTTGCTGACACCATTTATAAACCTTATGAAACGCATAATCCGTATTGGATAAACCAGTCTTCACTATGGATTTATAGGTCACACGTCATTTGAGGTGATTGATTGTGATTTCGACAGGATGATTATATGACGCCTCGTCAATGTCCTATATATAAACCGAATCAACAGACAAAGATTTGGTGTGGGAAGATTTCAGAATTCCGTTTTTGCGCTGCCTTCGGGGTGAGGAGAATGAGATGTCCGCCATCCGTGTTTCTCTATTTTCCTTGACGTCCATATTGTCATTATTTAAATCTTGATTTGAATCCTCTTTGTTGGTAAATTTCTCTCTAGCTTCACTCAGTTTTTCCAACCAGGCATTCTTAAACAAATACACAAAAAAACATTATCGCATGTTCCTACGCAGAATTAAAAATACAAAATACCTATTAAAGATACGGTTGAAACATTGATTGGTCCATGTATGAATTAAGATTGAAGATAATGTTAAGCGTGAATAAGACCATGTATCATATAAAAAAGCTCCATTTTATCACGTTGACGAAATACCGGATGTAAACAAGGGTTATGCTAACTTTTAAGTTGATTTCATACTCGATACACACAAAGGTGATATAAACGTTTACGCTGACTTCATACTCGATACATACAATGACTATATGAAGTGAAAGTTGACTAAATACTCGAACCACACAATGATTATATAAAGTGAAAGTTGACTAAATACTCGAACCACACAATAACTACATAAAGTGAAGATTGACTAAATACTCGAACCACACAATGATTATATAAAGTGAAAGTTGACTAAATCCTCGAACCACACAATAACTATATAAAGTGAAAATTGAATAAATACTCGAACCACACAATGACTACATAAAGCGAAAGTTGACTAAATACTCGAACCACACAATAACTACATAAAGTGAAGATTGACTAAATACTCGAACCACACAATGATTATATAAAGTGAAAGTTGACTAAATACTCGAACCACACAATAACTACATAAAGTGAAGATTGACTAAATACTCGAACTACACAATGACTACATAAAGTGAAAGTTGACTAAATACTCGAACCACACAATGACTACAGAAAGTGAAAGTTGTCTAAATACTCGAACCACACAATGACTACATAAAGCGAAAGTTGACTAAATACTCGAACCACACAATGACTACAGAAAGTGAAAGTTGTCTAAATACTCGAACCACACAATGACTATATAAAGGGAAAGTTGACTAAATACTCGAACCACACAATAACTATATAAATTGAAGATTGACTAAATACTCGAACCACACAATGACTATATAAAGGGAAAGTTGACTAAATACTCGAACCACACAATGATTATATAAAGTGAAAGTTGACTAAATACTCGAACCACACAATGATTATATAAAGTGAAAGTTGACTAAACACTCGAACCACACAATAACTATATAAATTGAAGATTGACTAAATACTCGAACCACACAATGACTATATAAAGTGAAAGTTGACTAAATACTCGAACCACACAATGGTTTTACGTTGACTTAATATTCGAAACAATACTACAGCTCGTTCTACTGACGAAAAGCTCGATTGACCCAATGGTTATAATTATTCGATACACACAATCGTTATATAAACGTTTATGATGACTAAATATTCGATAAACACAATAGTTATATACACTTTAATTTTGACTTAACATTCGATACACACAATGATAATATATATATTTGAGTTGGCTTAGTACTCGATGCACACACCAGTTATATACATTGTTACTAACTACACACTCAACCTGATGAGGGTTACATGAAGTAGGCTTTTACACTATAACTGACGGGGAATAGTACCTTTGCTGCGTCGGTAGGCGACTGAAGGGTGTAAACACCTATGATTTGCTGGAATCGACTGATTTGGACGATAACAAAGGCACACTTGACGCCATTAGCTGAAAAGAAAACAATATATCGTGTTAGAACTTGAAAATGTTGTTGCTGAAAAAAGAGAGGGAATATGTGCTATTGATATACGACTAAAATAGTTGTTATTGGTGCGTACCTGCAGCCTCTGATTGGCTGATATCGTGAACACTGAGTCTATCTAAGGCCACCGGCTGCTTGTGTACTATGTACGTAATTTTATCACATGACGCTTGTGCACCGCTAGCTTCAAGTTGGGACTGTTTCTGTAATGTAAAATGTGTTATCATGTGAGGTTTGCCGACACATTACTTCAAGCAGCTGTAACTGTACCTGTGATGTAATTTAGAGATACCGTGCTATGTTTGATGACTAAACACGTAAAGCTGAAAACACTTCAAAGAGGTACCATTAATCACATTACAAACACAGCTAGACACAAATGATATTTCAAACTGGTGACATAGTCTACAAGATATTGGAAATCATAATAAACCCAAACCAAATACAAGGGGCTTGACGACATAAACTACTAAAGATTTACAGAAACCAAGGGGGAACTATAATGAACACCTAACCCAACCAGGGGCCATTTGTAGACATAGACTTATAACAAGAGGCCCATGGGCTTAAACGGTCACCAGAGTTATGTAAAAACTGATGTTATAGATGTAGTCAATTGAAATAGAAATCATTTTGTAACAAATGTGACTTGAACTAAATGTAATACAAAAGTAGTGTAAAATATCTCGGTAGTATATGTAGTATGTACAAATAGTGGTTATGTCAGTCAGCTGACAGGACATGTCCATTTAGCTCAGTGGTAGAGCGTTGGCCTCCGGAACCTGGGGTCGTGGGTTCGATCACAGCTGGGGCACCTCATCTTTCCACTTCTTATTTTCCTATTACAGTAGAACGAGCTGTAGTATTGTTTTTGGTTTATTTTGAAAATGAACAAAATATCCCCAAAAGTATCAATTTCGTATACAAACTGTAGTAAACATTATCCCCTGAAAAGGGGCAAAAGAGGAGCCTGGGGGTCATGAAATTCATTATTTTGATAAAGCACATTTCTCTTTATTTTGATAAAGCACCTAAGCTCCATATTTGAGGATTAATTGCTTCCGGCATATCTGAATCTGGAGAAGAGTTACAAGATGGCCAAATACCAAACTTTCATAGTATCAAACTGTCATTTCGAAGTTATAATATCTATCAAGTTTCAATGATTTCCAATTGGAAATGAAACAAATACACCCAAAAGTATCATTTTCCTATGTAAACTATATTGAACTTCGCCCCCTCTCCAGAGGCAATGGAGTCTGGGGGTCATAAAATCCACATGTTTGATAAAGCACCTCAAGACCCTTCCATCTTTGACGAGTATTGGTTTCCAGCCTATCTTAGTCTGGAGAGGATGACTGATGAACTATCTGGCTATATGACCCCATTTGGGCTCAGCCCCTCAGCCCCTAAACCCCTCAGCCCCTGGGGATCAGACAGGGTTAAAAATGTCAAAGTATCAAACTGTAATCTCATGGCTATAATGTAAATCAAGTTTGGATGATTTCATGCAGAAATGAACAAAATGTACCCAAAAGTTGCATTTAAATTTAGGCCAATTTGACTACTTTTAGCACCGCCCCTCAGAGCTCCTGGCCCCGGGAACCGTATAATTCAAAACTTTTGAGCATATTTGACCAAGAAAGGTTCCTGTACAATTTTATTGAAATCGGATCAGCTGCTGCTGAGCAGAAGTCGAAAAGGTTAATTGTTTACGGACGCACGACGGACGACGAACGACGACGAACAAAAGGCGATTAGAACAGGTCACTTTAGAAATATACAAAAACAAAGAAAAACTTAAATAATCAACAACCAATACCAGGAGCAACTGACGACATAAACATAAAAGTTACACCATAACAAAAGGTAAATTATGATAACCTTCCTACTAAAACCAGGGGCACTTAATGACATTTAAGGTCAAAAATCCAAATAGGGATCTAATTCATAACCCTTACTAAACTCATGGGCGAGTAACGACATAAACTGTTAAAGATGCACCAAAAGTAAAAGGAATGTGATATATAACCCTAACCAAAACCAGGGTCGAGTGACGACAAAAACTACTTAAGTTGCACCTAATTAAAACGGAATCTATTGTATAGCCCTAATCGCAACCACGGGCGAGTGACGAAATGAACAACAAAATGTACACCAAACCAAAAGGGAATCTATTGCATAGCCCTAACCGAAACAACGGGCGAGTTTTGAAGTAGACTACTAATTGTACACCAAATAAGTAAGTCTATTGTATAGCCCTCACCGAAACCACGGGCGAGTGACGACGTAAACTACTAAATGTACAACAAATCAAAAGGGAATCTGTATTATAGCCCTAACCAAAACCACGGGCGAGTGACGACGTAAACTAGTAAATGTACACCAAACCAAAAGGAAATTTATTGTATAGCCCTAACCGAAACCACAGGCGAGTGCCCACGTAAACTACTAAATGCACACCAAACCAAAAGGGAATCTATTGTAAAGCCCTAATCGAAACCAGTGGTGAGTGACGACGCAAACTACTTAATGCACACCAAACCAAAAGGGAATCTATTGTAAAGCCCTAACCGAAACCAGTGGTGAGTGACGACGAAAACTACTAAATGTACACCAAACCAAAAGGGAATCTATTGTATAGCCCTAACCGAAACCAGTGATGAGTGACGACGTAAACTACTAAATGTACACCAAACCAAAAGGGAATGTGTTGTATAGCCCTAACCGAAACCAGTGGTGAGTGACGACGCAAACTACTAAATGTACACCAAATCAAAAGGGAATCTGTATTATAGCCCTAACCGAAACCACTGGTGAGTGACGACGTAAACTACTAAATGTACACCAAACCAAAAGGGAATATATTGTATAGCCCTAACCGAAACCAGTGGCGAGTGACGACGCAAACTACTTAATGTACACCAAATTAAAAGGGAATCAATTGTATAGCCCTAACCGCAACCAGTGGCGAGTGACGACGCAAACTACTTAATGTACACCAAATTAAAAGGGAATCAATTGTATAGCCCTAACCGCAACCAGTGGCGAGTGACGACGCAAACTACTTAATGTACACCAAATTAAAAGGGAATCTATTGTATAGCCCTAACCGAAACCAGTGGTGAATGACGATGTCAACTACTAAATGTACAGCAAACCAAAAGGGAATCTATTGTATAGTCCTAACCGAAACCAGTGGTGAGTGACGACGCAAACTACTAAATGCACACCAAACCAAAAGGGAATATATTGTATAGCCCTAACCGAAACCAGTGGTGAATGACGATGTAAACTACTTAATGTACACCAAATTAAAAGGGAATCTATTGTATAGTCCTAACCGAAACCAGTGGTAAGTGACGACGCAAACTACTAAATGCACCCCAAACCAAAAGGGAATATATTGTATAGCCCTAACCGACACCAGTGGTGAATGACGACGCAAACTACTAAATGCACACAAAACCAAAAGGGAATATATTGTATAGCCCTAACCGAAACCAATGGAGAGTGACGACGCAAACTACTAAATGAACACCAAATTAAAAGGGAATCTATAGTATACTAGTAAATGTACACCAAACCAAAAGGGAATCTATTGTATAGTCCTAACCGAAACCAGTGGTGAGTGACGACGCAAACTACTAAATGTACACCAAATTAAAAGGGAATCTATAGTATAGCCCTAACCAAAACCAATAGTGAGTGACGACGTAAACTACTAAATGTACACCAAA